ACTGTCATTCCGTGTCTATAGTAAAGGAATAATATTGTTTGGCCTCTGTTTAAAAGAGAAATATTATACTATACTCAGAACAGCGTAACTGCTGTACTAATACGTATCTCTCTGTATAGCAACTGGCAAGAAAGACGAGATAGCAGGATGGACATTCTGTGCAAATAACCGAGATGTAACGGCAGTGCCGGTTTATGTGTCGCGGTTACAATAAACCGCAATTAAAGGGGTTATTAATATTAATGAAATAAACGCGAATGACATAACGAGCCATAACGGTTCACGGTAAGTAGACATCCTGGGATCCTTGAATTCATGAGATTCCCTGATATGATACTATGGATACCTGCCATGTATCAATGTTGCGTCGACTTGAAAATTTTTCGAAAACCAAAACAAAAATGATTACGATTGTCAAAAGTAGCTCGTAAATAGTCATTAAAATTTTTGTTTCCAGGTAAAAAGAAAAGAGGGAAAAAGTCATATTAAAGGTCGGGAGATGATTCCAGTTGGCAGGTATCGTAAATAGGGGATGCTCGAGGGGGTTGGTAGTTAGGTATAATGCAATGCCGGAATATGTCAGAAATTAAGCGGGAGAAACCGGGAGTGCTCTTTCTGGCAGCGTCGTCGCTTTTATTAGAATTATCTTTGTCACTTTCCCAAGTTTATATTTACTCCTCCTGTGAACCTCTTAAAGCCAACCCTCTTCTCACCCCTCCTTCGTCCCTCTCCTTCTTTCTCTCTTCTGCGTGCTCTGGCTCTCTCTTTCTCTCTCACCCCTTTACCCTCTACCCCCACTTTCGGTTACTGTTACTCCTTGGATTTTCTCCGCACCCTCGGGCAGCCACCACCACCTCAGTCTCGCCCTTAGCTAGCGTATATAGTACCTATACCTATGTATATAGGGTACCGAGCAGCCACCACTTGCTTATTATCTTTACGACTGGGAAGATGGAATTAAACTGAGTGTGCCCGAAATGTAATAATATTCATTACTATGCTAATGCCTCTCGGTTCGCGCGTTCGCGGGTTATGGCGAAAACTTGCTTCATATTTTTGTTATCTGAGACACCTGAGCCTACTTACATCGGCAGGACCACGGATTTCGGGATTTCATCCAGTCTCTGGTGTACCCTGTGTAGCTCAAGAATATCCTTGCTCCTTTTTAGAAGCTCGCACGTTCTTTTAAGTACGAACAAAGAAATTTTACCTCAGAACAAAGCCAAAGTATCGTATCAATTTATTAGTTGTCGGCGATAACATAATATAATATAAATCTCCCTGATAACGAGACGTTTGAATTTTTGTTTTCAGTATCGGGCTACGGAGAGCTTTTTTTGTATTTTTGAACTATTGAAAAAATATCGGTTCGGGAAAGCTCGAAAATGTTCTCCCCCATCCCCCCTCCCCAATACCCATCTCCATGACAAAATTCATTGCTCCAGAAATCACGAGTCTCTCGAGTGATAGCCGTCGTAGCGGTGCTTTGCGAGAGCTTATCTGCTCCCGTGAAAATTACAAGCTTCATAGAGAAACTTGCCTTTAGAAATGGCGAGCCGTAAATTTTCCGCTTTTGTGGTGAACAATTACTTAGCGTCAAGTGGCTACGGACGAAACTCCGTTACACAGGTACGCGAAAAAGTATTTTACCCAAGTATCATTCGCGGTGCTGATAACTCGTGAAAAGAATTTACTTGGCTTGTCAAAGGCTGCGCTCGAAGACGTGATAATTTTTGAAAAATATTCAATAGAGAATGAATTTAGCCTTTGATCTTTTCTTCTGCTTTGAAATGCCAAAGGAACTAGCGACGCGACGAAGAGTCTCAGGAAAGTCGCGACAGCCAAGTAAAGCGAACTGGGTTAGTTAGCCAGTGAAGATTCTGTCAGACGGTGGTACGAGGTGGGAGGGTGGGGGGGGGAGGTTAAGAATGTACATGAAGGGATGTGAGAAGTGAGAGGAAAAAAGAGAGAGAGAGAGAGAGAGAGAGAGAGAGAGAGAGCGCTATGATGGTAAGGGTTTCGAAGAGTACGCAAGAGAGAGAGAGAGAGAGAGAGAGAGAGAGAAGAATAAGAGAGAGTAGAACGACGGAAAAGCACAGGGTGGAAACTCGTGCGATGAAGCAGAAGTATTTAATCAAGGGATCACCACCGCCGCGTCTAAATAAACCAACGTTGAACGATGGGGTCGGAGATTTTAGCGTAAAGAGGGTGGCGATAAGACGCAGGAGTATGAGAGTCCTAGCGTTGAGGGAGTCGGGAAGGAGTCAAGGTGTACATCAGGAGTCAGGGCTGAAGACAAGGCGACTCTAAGAAGGGTTAAATTACTCGCCTTCTCGTTATAACTACTACACGTTCATCCCTTAACTTTCACCTCCGAGCCCACCGGCACCCCCGACCACCCCCACAATGAGAGAGACGTAGAGGGGCTTAGCTCCTAACCTTAAAACGTAGTGCTGGCTCCAAGCTGAACCATGCGGAAGTTTCCCAGGTCGAATATGAATATAAAATTACTAAAAATTATAAAATTACGTAAGAGCGTTGACGATTTGTCAAAAAAAATTTGTTTTTGTTATATTTTTTTTTAATCCTAACAGCTTTCAACTTTTGATGTCCCGAAGCATTGCGTAATTCGGGTTGAAAGGCAGTTCGACTACGTTGCTAGTCACGACATACTTACCTATATTCTGACTTCACGTAACACGTAATACACAAGGTAGGAGGAAAGGTCGCAGGATGGATGAGAGTTTGTTGTGCTGCTTACACGTCAAACAATCCATGTTTAATTAATTCTACGCGCCCGATAGCACCAGCGTCCCACAGTCAAACGTCGTTTGACGGAAGCGAAGGGACGCAAATATATATTCGCTTCGACGTACCCGCATGTATTATATAACAACGTATATATACTTCCCTGAGAATTCTCGACTCAGCAGTTAATACCGTGAGGAGTCGCAATGGAATTTTACTTTTCACAGGAACCACGTATATATGGGACAGTCGCAATTCTTTAACACGAAAGTCGTTGAAAAGAAAAATTTTGTAATTGCTTTTATAAGCATATGAATTTTATTAATTTTATTGTATCTTTAGGTCAATCACGTATTTCGATAATTTACGTATTTCAGTATCCGACTATCGCACAGATATGCCGCGTTAGTTAAATCCACGGAAGAAATTCACTTGAGTATAAGTACCATTGAGCATAGCGTTGCGACGCGTATCTGACGTATTGCAAAAGTTTATAAAGCAACGTCGAGACGTTGTGCGATGCATATAAAGAGGGAGAGAGAGAGAGAGAGAGAGAGAG